TAACTATCCGTGTGTGCCTGTAAAGGTGAGTTCGAGCAAAGATCTGAAGGGGCATGCAAATATAGTTCTTTTGTTATTGCGATTGCATCTTATCTCAGTTGATCCATAACGTGGAGGTTTAGTACGACGATCAGACAACGCTTTCTATGCGTGATACTGTGCATTTAAAGGTATATTATATCTTAGCCCTGTCCTCAAAATAATAAATCCGTAAAGGTTGGCCCCAAAACACCATGGGGCCAAGAGCTGTTTAGAATGTCCTCCTACTATAAACCAAGTCGATTTTAGGGTGTGACGTTTTGCAATTAAGTGTAATTTGTGTGTACAACGTAAAAATGCACCATAATATCATAGTTCGAGTTGACGAAAAAGAAAAACATCGAAGTCAAGATTCGTTTCAAACATTATTTACCAAACCTGCTTTCAGGAAAATCAGACATTTAAACGCAAACGATGAGTATTGGAATCGCAATTTCTCACTGAATTATGCCTTTGGGTGTAGGAGTACCACTGGCAGTTTCCGCTTTTAATTTGCCACCGTTTTGAATATACAGTAATTAGTGATACAAACAGACCTTTCGTGGAATCCATAATCAGATCGGTTAAGAGCGTATGGGTGTAGGTACAAATATTAAAGACCAGTGTTAATGAGAGATTATTGCAAGGGATTTCAGAAGACGCGTTTAATGACTGCTAAACAGCTCTTTTTGATGTTTTGCATAGGAGGCGTCTTTACATGCTGCAAGCAGACAAGGGCTATGCAGTAAACTGTATTATCGTATTTTTCTTCGATGGTCATTTAAGGTCTGATTTTACGCCTTCATAATAAAATGGCTGCAGCCTACATCATACGCTACTGCAAGTTGAGTGAAACCTCACTGTCTCTGATGACGGGTTCAATTTATAATGCGAATGAGCTTCTCAAGTAAAATCTCTAGTCCGGTGCCAACTCATTTACTTCTACTACTAGTCGCTGCGCGACCGCCTGCGAGGGTTCTAGCATGAGCCTCAAGTTACAGCGGAAGCAACTTGGTCAGCGCTAGTCTGGCATAATTGCCTTTAACCACCACAACCGACATGACGTCCGGAACTTTGCTCAATCGTAGTGTCCGAATCTATGACGGAATATTCCGCGTTCGAATATCAAGTGGACCACAATTTGGGTTGGGTACGACCGGTTGTCGACGACAAATAAACCGAAAATGGCCATTCCGCCCTCCATTGTCTTCGACAATACCATCGTTATTACATATACGTATTTGGAAAATGTATATATACATATATTTGAAGAAAGGGCAAGCTCGACAACAATTGATTTACTGTCCTGACGTTTAAATAGCAAACAATGTTCCATCGTCGGAGGTAAGTGTGTTATCGCGCCTCACAATATTTAAAGGTGGGTGACAGTCATTTCAAGACGGGCATTTTTACGTATGAAGTCAGGGCGGTAGGTAGGTCGGGGCGGGGAGGGAGTCCCATAGCGGCTTTTTGTCGGATGAGGGTGTGGTGGATCAGCTTTAGTGGTCACCAGCCGCATTCACACAGGGACTGTGGCGGACGAGGGAGGAAGTATGGGTGACGAATGTTCTCAATCTACATCTGGGGGCGGCGTTGAGACGTTGGTGGACATCGTTCGTACCTTCCTCTACCTTAGCTGTCGACATCATATGTAAAAATGCCCGTCTTGAAATGACTGTTACCCACCTTTAAATATTGTGAGGCGCGATAACACACTTACCTCCGATGATGGAACCTTGTTTGCTTTTAAAACGTCAGGACTGTAAAACAATTGTTCCCGAGATCGCCTTTTTCTCATTTGCATTGCGTGACTGATCTTATTTAATGTTGGCTGAAATTCTGAAATGCGCCTTCGATTAGAAAGGATTACTTAAGTGGGGTTGTTATACTGAGTAACCTACAGCAT